GTTGTACATATCTCAAAGCGAAGATAAGAAGCGGAAAATATTTTAAAGTCCGAAAGGGGTTGCAATGCATCAAAGGTAGAAACAAGTTATTTTTTATGCAATAAGCTGTGCATTAAGCAGTACAGGCACAGCTTTAATACTGTACTGTATCTGTCAGCACACACTGGATTGGGGCATCTAATCAGCATGCTGCTCTTCTCAACTTGTATCCACATTTGATTGTGCATTTTTCTCTAATGCATGAAAAATAGTCTCAGGCATATTTTGATAGCAAACTGGTGTAAACCTAGCACAGAGCAGAAGGATTGGATGAATAATCATACTGCCAATCCCACCTGCTGTCACACAAGAAACACATGTAAAGATATGTATAGATATACCAGTTAACCTTTGCATCTGCCATCAGAGCAAAATCGCAATTGCTCTGGAAATGGCACGGCAGATGAATTTGCCTTACTGTCAGTACTATCCCATCACATATCCTGGAGGTTTGGCTCTCCAATGCTGATCCAACCTGCAGTCTGTGTATACTTGAGACTTTCCAGCAGTGGGGCATTTCAGCCCTCTGGGGAATGCAGCACACTTCCCATGGTATATTCAGATGACTCTGTAGGTTAGTGGCTGCATGACAGAATAATATTTTAATTCCTTTCCCTTCTTTAGTGTGTTCAGAGCCCCATAAGAATAATGTTGTGGGGTCAGCACACATGCTGAGACAGCATCTTGCTGCTGTGAAGCATCATTAAGGGACCATTTCCTGGCATATTCTTTTCCATTGCAAATTTACAACATGTCTGAAAGGAAGTAAGTATTTAGAGAAAATGGGATCTAGTCGGAATTGTATGGTCAGAGACAGGATTGTTGCGGGTAAGTCATCAAAAATGGCTTTTTCTTTAGGTGCTACTTGAGCTTCTACTTAACCTCGTGAGTCCAAGAATCCACGCACTCTTTTGAGACCATAGCACCCTTGATGTTTTTATATCCCTCATGAGATAGGCTTAGTACCTTCAGTTTCTATAATTTTCTTTTACAGTGGGGGAGGATGCAAGTCCTTTTGCATATTTCAGTGCTGAGAGCTAAACAAAGCATCATGTGAGTATTATGGTGTGTCCCAGTTATCTCAGCTGAAGATATGTCCACTGTGCCATCTCCCTTCTGAGCCTATCCCTGAGGAGGGCCTTCAGAGGAAGGCTGATGGGCATCTGTTCACCTCGGCAGAGAACCAGGACATGGTGGGCAATCACACCTGGCCTCAAGAGCTCAGATGTGCTCCTGGGACCTCCATTTTGGACTTAGCCTCTGAGCCTGATGTTTAGACATCTCCTAGATGAGCAGTGCAAACACAAATACAGTCATGGCTGTTTGAAGTTCACAGCTTTTTTTTTTACACTAGATATATATATATATATATATATATACACCATAAAGAGCAAAAGGCAATATCAAGACTGAAAAATTCTTGCCATCTAAGTGCATGAAAAATAGTACTTCCTCTTGGGCACTTTGCAGCCTTTTCCCTGACTTACTGTGGGCGTACAAAAATTAGAATAATAATCAGATCTATTTAATAATTTATTTTATACCATCAAACAGAACTGATGGTTTATTCCAGCATTTTGAGGTCTCTTGCAGAATATCCCTCAGAACTTTTAACAGGGATCTTAGACCTTCCTTAATCTTTACATGAGTGAATTGATGATAGATGGTCCTGAAATAAGATGTCAGTATATTTGCTACTTTACACAACTATTTTTTAACATCATAGATTTGGGTTTTTTTTTTTCAATACTTGCAACTCAGTTTTTCATACTCCTTCCATGCTTCTGCTTGAAAATAGAGAGGGGAAAGTCACAGAATGTTAGAAAGCCTTTAAGTCTGCGAATTAATGTGCCTTTATGTCTGGGAGACTGCAGGAGGAAGAAATGAAGAAGTTGTCACCCTGATATGAGAACAAAGCCGAGTGACAGTTGCACTGTAAAAACATTAAGGAAACTCCCTGCTTATTACAGTCACTTCCAGTCCTTTCAAATGACAAACCAGTTAAAGAATTTCTAGGTAGGCTTACTACTCTCTCTGGTATTTTAGAAAATGGAAGAAAACAGAAGGTAAAGCATATGTTGTGTTAAGAGGAATTTCGAGATTGAAAGTGTGATGCCACTTAGACACTGACAGCTACAGTGGTCATAACTTAAAATGTCTTCAAAAATACTAAAATCATAGAATCAAAATTCTACTGTGGTACAGAGCAGAACTGTTCAAAAGGCATACAATGTTTTGAAAGATCTCTTGGCTGTTTTACAAATTATTTTTCTCATTTGTAACTGCTGCAATTTATAAAGCTATGTCTTTGCTTTCTGTCTAGTTCATACATTTATCAGACAAAAAATGTTTAACTCTTCATAGTGTTGTCCTGATATTACCAGAAACAAAGAATGTAAACCATTTAAAACACAAAGGAGCCTACTTAATCTAATGGGTTTGATCATTTGCATTCAACTCAGTCTTGTTTTTTATTTTTTTTTCTTACTACAGTCCACTATCAATTTCATCTCTGGAAACAGACCAACCCATGTTGTGAATTCTCTGCTTCAACAGCCCTTAGAATTTATCCATATTTAATCCTTCCATTAAATAGTGCTGCCTACATTCCTTTTTCCTTTTCACATTGATAGAATAACCATTTTCTGCTCTATTTGCTAATGAAACTAAATCCTCTGGTTGGCCTTTGCAGTTTTTTGTTAGGCACTAGGCTGATGGGTTTACTGAGGTATGTTTTGAGCCTCACTACATTCATAAAATCTTCCTCAATGTGCTGGCTACTGCATGCATCTGCTTCATTGATATTTCTATCCCGATTCTCCATACTGTTCTTCAACAGCTTTCTGGATGATCTTTTCAATTAGACGACAGTCTTGAGATTTTGTTTTCCCAAGAAGAATTATGTAACGTTTATACTGAGTCATATTTGCCATCTGCTGACCCAACCACATAAACAATACAAATTCTTAAAGACCCGAGTCTTTCCTTAGTATCTGCTTCTAATCTAATTTTTCACAAATATGCAGGTTTATGCACATAGTCCTGCCCTATGGTTAGTTCTTCATGGAATACTGGCACCTCTTCAGAGGCTCTCAGCAAACTCGAAGAAATCGGTTCATGAAGAGCACGCAGAGGATACATGTGAGAAGGTGTTTATCAAGCAATGCATGTGATTGCACACAAAGTGAAAAGCAAGTGAGAAATACGGGAAAATTATGGCTATCTTAACCTCAAGAGGCTTCAGAATGCAGGGGTTTTCTTAGTTTATGCCTAACTTTATTGGAACTAGTTAATGCTCAAGTGGCCGGTAACAAGATACAACTTTTTAGGCAAGCTTTAAATTACTGTTTTCCTCTGTGACTCTGCTGAGAGACAAAGGACTTAAGTCCTAATTCATGTGATTATACATTTGTTTATTTAAACCATAATAAAACATTTGTGATCACAGAACCAGGCCTTAAAATTACTATTTATACCAGACTCTTTCAATCAGAAAGACTGTAGTTATAGAATCTCTCCACCTAATAATTTTATGCATGTGCTCAATTCTGTGTCCTGCTGACAATATTAGAGAAGACATAATTTCAGGTCCTGAAAATGCCAAACTACGTAAATTACATTTTACATAGCTAAAATATACTTTGCTGTGGACAACTATATTGGAATGAGGTCTCCATAAATTTTGTTATCCTTTGTAAGAGAAAATCAGACTCCAGAAAGAAATTTTTATTTGTTTTTAAGATATTAAAAAATTTTAATTAGCTAATAAAAACAAACAAACACCAGTAAAAGTGTTACTGACAGCGACTAAAACAAATAATTTGTGAAATCAACACGAATCTTTCCACTGCCTTAAATACGGTATATCTGGAGTAATAAACACTCTCTAAAAACATAACATTAAAATCCTTGTTATTTTGCCATTACTGGGCTTTACCTCTGGTGAGCACAGTTCATGGGAGAATGCCACTGATGCCAGTGAGGGAACAGTAAGGGATGATAATTTGCCTGTTGTACCTATGGTTTTACCTACTCAAATTACAAAACTGAAACGGGAACCCAGGGCTGTAATTTGGGTTTCACATGTGCACAGTGTCAAACAGTGCATTTTTCAAGGATGTGCCTATGGGTTGGTCAGCACCGAGTATTTTCAGCGCAGCTTCAAAAAACCCTGTATCCACAAGCAATGATTAATTCTGGTGTCCGGAAAAGTCGTACAATGTAAAAGGTCTCTGTAACAGAACCAGGAGCTCCAGAAGGAATGACTGGGTGTGATACCAAATATATTCAGCTATACCTCCCGTCCTTGGAAGTACTGAAAAGGCACGATCCTGGCGTGTGGCGGTGCCAGCAGTCCTGCCTGCCCGACTCCCTCCTGACCTCCGCGGAGCCCGGGTTTTCCTTTTTGCCTACATCGTTTCGCTCAAGGAAGCCGGCTGGTGTGTCCGTGCGGAGCGTCCTGCTGCGTCCCCGGATGGGGAGGAATCCTCGCTCGAGCCACCTCCTCGCACACACGCACGCACACACACAACACACGGGCACAGCACCGTGATCCCACCAACCCCGTCCGCACCTGCTGCCAATTCGGCCCGGGACGAGTGTCCCTCAGCGCCCGCCCTTCGCTCCCGGGGCTCCTCGGCGAGGCTGCCCCGCATCCTCACCCTCAGGCACCGCTGGCCCGGCACCGGGTGCCTCCCGTCCCCTTCCGCAGCGCGGGGAGGCGCCGCCGAGCGCTCGCTGCCGCCGCGGGGGGCGCGGCCCATGCACCTGGCGGGGCGGGCGGCGCTCCCGGCTCCGCAGTGGGGCGCGGGCCGGGCGGGGCCAGCGGGGCGGAGGAGCGGGGTCCGCGGATCGCCGGGACCGCCGGGGCGGGCGGAGGGGACGCCGCGCCCGGGCAGCCACTGGGAGCGCGCCAGGCGCGTCTCCCCAGCAACGGGCCTGGCAAGGCAGGGCTGCGTCTCCTCCCTCCCTCCCTTCGGCCGCCCTTCCCCGTTTTCGTGCACCCGCCTGCCCTCCCGCCCGTCCGTGAGGGTCGTTATCCTCGTCAGCCCGGCAGGGCACGGCGGCTGACACTGCCCGCTTCCCCCGCCCCATCCTCCGGGCCGGGGCTGTGTGTGCATGGCAGTGTGGGGGAGGTTCTTTATTGGCCTCGTCCTCCATCCCTCCCTCCCGCCGCCCCCCTTCACCTTCCACACTCCACCCAGAAATGATCCAGTAAAACTAGGAGGAGGTGGTTCTCCTCCTCCCTCCTGCTGCTGCTCCTGCTGGTCTGGAAGGGACTGCAGGAATCTCTGCTGTGCTCTGCTCTGAGGCAGGGTCTGGGGAGGGGAGGTCGTTCTGTGGAGGGAGGGGGCCGCTGTGGCCGGGGGTGCAGCTCTCTCGCGGGGGGCTGCTTGGTTTCCGACCATGGGGAAGGATCAGGAACTGCTGGAAGCTGCTCGCACTGGGAATGTGGCTTTGGTGGAGAAACTCCTCTCTGGGAGGAAAGGAGGGATCCTGGGCAGTGGATCTGGAGCTATCCCCTTATCCAGCTTATTGAGGTAGGGACATCGTTTCCCATCAGCTGCTGGGGTTATTAACCTCTTCTTCTGTATCATCATCATCATTATCGCCCCTCTCATCTTCATTTCCATTCCGGTATCCTTCATAGTAACAATAAATCGTTCACTCTCTCGCCAAGTACAAGCGTGCCAGTGTTTAAAGTCACAGGCAGTCATTTTCTTAATACAGTGGTACTGAATTTCCTGCCTTCAATGCGTCTGTAAGGTCCGTGTGTTCATTCTGTTACTAGCTGTGGTGCAGAACTTACATTTCGACTGCTGTGCTAATATGTACAATGTATTGATTAACCTTCCTTTGATATTTCCATCTTCAAATTGCTCCTTGTAATCACATATGGAAGTGTTTATCATAGACAAGGCATTGCATTGTGGAATTCTGTGTAAAAAGATGTAGCTTCACCCCATACCCTCACCCGTAGTTGCAACCCTCACTTGCAGAAGAAATTAGGCATGCCATGGTAATGAGCCTACAAAACAAAAGGAATTTTTTTTTTTTTTTTATTTTGGTGGGAGATAGATCATCAAGGCCGAGGAGGTGTAAAACTTAGGGAGCAGGTTAGGGAGCAGCATTACTTTCAAGGTACCTGGGTTTAGTGGAGTGAAAGTGGGTTACTGGCCATATTGGGTGAAAGGGCTTAACTTTAGTCATTATTATCTCATGCAATCTACAGCATAGCTTTGATGTTAAGTTTCATCATGCTCTTAAGTCAGAGCATTGTCACAATCATTTATGACATCTGGTATTCAAATCAGAGAAGGTCTGCAGCATACAGTCCGATGCTAGTGTTCAACACTACATTAGGCATAGCGAAAGAGGACAAAATGAACCAAAACACTGTTGACCTAGAATTTGAATAAATTGGGAGTTTGGTTTGATTTTTAATTGGTAAAGAAAGAAAGGCCTAGTGCAACGGAAATGGATTTAAATGAAAATATATTTGTGATTCTATTGCCAGTGCCTTCCATGTTTTTATATTATCTCTGTGTTCCCTGTCAGGGAAACTTTAGTTTTAACCGTCTAAATTATATCTGTTTAAACTCTGTTATAAAGTCTTGCTATTTTGAAGCTGGGTTTAGTGCTGTAAACAACAACAGTTCAGATATTCAAGTTTACCAAAGTTCTGTGGCGTCCCAGTTCAATTAGGTATTGCACCATTGTTGAATTACTAACCCATTGACCAAAATCAAAACACACCATGTGATTGCTTTTTGTACTGTACTCAAATAGGCTGCTTAGCAAGGAGTATGTCAGATAGTTGGTTGAATTTAAAATATGAGTCTTCTTAAAATGTGATAACCGTTTTTCTAAGTACAGAAGTAAGTTCACTTCAGTACAATGACTAGTCATTTATAATTTAGTTCTACTGCATGATTTGTGTAGTGACTTTCTTCAAGGCTAGTGCTTATGCTATATTCCTGCACTGTTACTTTCATGTTGTGTATCGTAAGATCTGTATATCCAGAGGGAGCATATTTGCTTGTGCTTTCCTTTCTTTATTAAACAGCAGTGGTTTACGTTGTGTGTATGGAACACATGTGTTTTGTGTATACAGATGGGTCACGACAGTCATTGTTTGTTACTCAGAATTTAAGTATTTTAGGTTGTAAAGTCAACTGGCTTTTTTTTTTTTTCCCCAGAAGTGCGCTTGGCTTAAAGAGAAGTAAAGCAAAATAAAACATGTAGCATTATATTTATGATATTTCTTACAAATGTTGTAAAGAATGTCTGTGTCTTCTGTTAACGTAACTTCAGAAATTAAAAGTGAGCTTTTCGCTATGCTGCATACAGCTGTATGCTAAAGTATTTCTAATTTAGAGAGAATTCAAAATTCAGTAATGGATTGATGCACAAATGTTCACAGTCTAGCACACTATTCAACATAATGCCTTTGAGAGGGTTCACCAGGAGTGCTCAAAGTAGAAAACACTATGCATTATAATATTTGTTTACAAGAAAAAATTATATGTGCCAAGTGTTTTAACATACCTTCATTTGGGACATATTCCATGATCTAACTGATGCCATTAATGATGAATTAAGTCTAGAATGACATGCAAGATTAGGGTTAGATCTATCTTGGTACGGGACACATGGAAACAAAGTGAGGTCCTGAATACTAATGTCTTGATCCTGTTTAGGAACTCAACACTTGCTGAAAATAGCAAAGTTGTAGAAGAACCATAAATGTGGAGTATAAAAGTTTGCATTTGAGGTTGGAGGGGTTCTGAAGAAGAAGATTCTTCAGTCTTCCATTGAAGAAGCTTACTGGTAGAGCTATACTGGTATTTTTGCATGCAGTTTATTAGAATAAAAACTGATTTTTAAAGTTGTAATAAAAAGAAAGCAATAGAAAAAATACAGGGACATATTTTTATTCATTTTATGTAATATTTAGGAGTCATTGTGTTTGACAGTATCTCCTGCTGGTTGTAATTATTTCTCAGTTTCTAAAATGGTCCCCCAGAACTTTGTGTATCCCATCGTGGTAGAATGGTCCATGTTGCTTTTTCTTTCTCCTTTTAGCAGTGCTGTTTCTAGCATTAGGTTGGGAAAGTCCAACTCTTTCAGGATACAAATGGACTTACACTGTGCCCGATACATTGGTTTAAGTAGTAGTAGTACTTTTTCCCCTTGGATTTCTTCAAAGGCCTGGAGACAACTCAGTTTTTGTGGCTGAACTCTCCATGGCAAGATGCCTTTTTTGGTGGAAACTGTCTTTGCAGTAATGATGTGCCTTGTGAATGAAGTGTAACATTCATGAATTGGCAAATGCACGTTGATTGTTATCTGAACCAAGGAAAAAACTACCTGACCTCTGATGTCCTATTTACATTTTTATAATAACATTTTTTTCTGACTTAGAGTGTTTTATGGTCTTTGGGGGGAAAATAGGGCAAATCTTTGTATGGTTCTGTAGTTGGACCTATTAATTGATGATAATTGCAGACTAAATTATCTAATTTTTAAGGGCTGACTTCTAACTCCTAAGTCATTATATTAAATTATTACGGCAGTTCAGGAAAACAGCTTTGTTCCAGAAGGCTATTTAAGCATATGTATAAATGTATGAATGAATTCCTGTGAGGATTTAAACACATGCTTAGAGTATGTGCTAAAAGCATAAAAATGATATATGCTTAATTAAGACATCATAGGCACACAGATATCTGTAATAGTCACAATATAATGCCTCATGCCCAAATTGATTTACCTAAAACAATGACAACAAATCAGTGATGTTTGACTGTGTGAACTCTGTAACTTGTTTCAGTTCAGAAGAAGCATTGAAGGGCTCTGGGTCAGTCTGTGCTCCCCTACCTCCATACTTTGTTCTGTAGTATAAAGATTGTGGGTGAATATACTGAAGGTGAATTCCTCAGGTGTGAAAGTCAGCATAAGGCATTGCAACCTCCTAGAGCAAGAAACCTAAGTAAACACCTGGCATAGCGTAATTTAGTTGCTTAAACCTGGGTACCTAATGGTATTTTAGATGCCCATGAGTTTCTGAGGCATCTGGTTGGACTGATGGACTTCAACAAAGAGCCATGAACTGAAAAGTTACATCTAAATTCTAGGTATGATACACAATGACGTCTAAAACTCTGTTACGTCTGTGTTGCCTACAGTCTCCAACCCCAAACATATTAGTGCAGGGCTGGGATCTTTTGCTATGAAATGAGGATATTTTGAGATGCCTTATAAAACAGAGTTTAGAAGATGGAAGTGTAAGTTATTTTCTCTGTTTCTTCTGGGATTCCAGTGTCTGGAACTGTATATGTTAGTATATTAACTATGCTTCATATTAAAAAAAAAAAAGTTTTTTAAGTTTAGAATTAGATTTTTTTTTTCTAGATTGCAAAGAGAATTTTCACATATTTTTACACAATCTCACTGGCTTTTATATTATTTCAGTGTAAACACAAAGACTTGACAGTAAAATCCCACAGTCCTCTAACAGAATGTGTCATTCAATTCTTGTATCCCAAATCCTTAAATGTACATTGAAAGATTTAACACATAAAAAGAGTGAAGTGTTTCTAACAAAACCTGTTTTTTTTTTTTTTACTTAATTTGATTACCTGTGTATACATAACATGTTTTTATTGATCAACCAGTTTTTCGTTGTTGGACAAAGACAGGCTTCATTTCTTTCAAAGGGTTATTGGTAAAAGTAACTTTGAAGGTTTTAATGTATCTCAGAGACCTTATCTCATTTTGCCATGTGCAGTCATGTACATGCCTGTTTGCCCTACTAATATGTTACAAGCTGAAGAATGGATAGTTCTTGATTATATGCTAATTTTTAGTCTTTATAAATTGTACATGTTAAAAGAGCTTTGGATTTTTAACAGGACTGTGGGATTGAATATTAATTAATGTGCACTGGCACACATAGTAGGGGAGGTTGAATTGGCCCTTCTTTGCTCTTTGTTGGCTGCTGCCATTACACAGCATGGGAGGGCGGAGCAGCCGGCCTGGAGCTGGTTTTTTCCTCCTCTACACTTGGCAGACTGTGGCAGGGAATGGCTCCATTCTTTGCTTAGCCTTACTTAGCACAGCTACACCATGTATAGGCCTGGCCCAAGTTATTTCTCCTCAAAAGTATAAGAAACGCGGCAAGCAGATTGTCAGTCTGTGAGTTGCAATCTGTTTCCTCATCTGTTTCTCAGAGCAGTGTCTTGCTTGTAGCAAAGCTACAGTTTAGCCTGATGGCCTCAGTGCACGCTGACAACCACACCGATCCTCTTCTGTCCTTGTGCAGAGCCCTCTGATTCATTCAACTTGCTTTGCAAAAACAGATCACCCTCGGATATGGCTTGTAGAGCAGAAAGTATTTAAAATGTTGGAATGCTTTATGAAGCTTTACTTAAGTTTTAAAAAGTTTTTTCATCTTATAATTTAAATAGCAAACGGGTCACCTTATCGACAAAATTAAGGCAACTAGTTCTGTTCTTCATTACGAATAGCATTGTTTAAA